GGTTCTTCCTAAAGGGACCATGAACACCTACACCCACGCCCGCACCCACATCCACACCTACACCTACCCACACCCGCATACACATCCACACCCTCACCCACACGCACACCCGCGCCAACACACCCGTACCCACACCCACACCAACACACCCACACCCACACCCTTCGCCGTCCGATGTTCATTCTTTATACTTGGGTGACCAATCAAAAGATCATTCTCCGTTTCTCTGCCTCCAGACTGGTATTACTCATCCGCTGCTACTTATGATGCACGTATGTACAAAAGTGGAAACAGAGAGCAAGAACGCAAGAAAAAAGAAGAAATAAATATTTTGGTCTACTTTCATGTTCATATCAATGACTCTCAACTTTTTGCCTATAGCTTTTCTACATAACCCATTCGAAGAATAGATGAGTGTGGATGTGAGTGCAGATGGGGGTGGGTGTGTAAGTTGAATGTGAGTCTTCTTTTCATCAATGCTCACACCCACACCCCATCCTATGTAAAAAACAAAGTTGTAGGAAAAGCTTAAAAATCACATTAAAAATCGATCATAATAGTACTATTATAATCTGATTTTAATCAGATTTGTTAGCCTTAAAAGACAGATTTCATTTGATTTAACCTTTTTTAATCTATTTTAATCGACTCTTAAAACTAAATCAATTATTATTACTTATAGAAAATCGATTTTAATTTATTAAAGTTTCTCAACCGATCAAAATAGATTAAAACAGATTTATGAGTGAAGAAAAGAATGTCCACACCCACACCCTGAATCAAAGATATACAGGGTGTCCAGAGAGTAACAAAACAAAAAGTTTGAACACACATCTCCGTCATATTTTGATCGAATGGAATGATATTTTTAACACTGATAATGGAGTATGTATAGTTCATATTTATAAGAGAAATGTTATCAAAAATTGTTTTTTTGAAGTAGTAAAACTAACTTCAACAAGAAACTGTAATATTTTCTGAGTTATAAAAAAAACAATATATTTATTCTCTTAGCCAAGAATAAACGGCATGTGATTTGTTCGATCACTTCTTCACACTAGTGTCGTTTGGTCTCATACTTATACTATTATTATGGAAAACAATCAGCGTTTTTTTTTAACTAAAAAACGAAATACTTTCGCTTTAGCTCTTGTACAAGTAGTGCTTTCGGTCATCGTTCGTATCAACATTTTCATTAAACAACACACGTACTCTTTTCGACAAGATCCTTTATCGAACATTGGTAGTGACAATTGCGAGAAGAAAAGAAAAAAATATTGATCTTGAACATTTCAAACATCAGATTTATTGGCCATCTATTTCAAATGAAGTAGAAACAAAAGAAATATATTCGTTGAATCAATACAGAAAATAAAATGACTAGAAACTCAATTAATATTTTTACACGATAAATCAGACTTCAAATATTCATTTTTTTAAAAATAAGTATTTCTCTCAAAATAATAATCCAAAAAGATTTTGTATAAGTATCTGCTTTTTATTCAGAAGAATTTTTATAATTAGTAATTACTTCTGAACTGAATTAATATGTCATAATCATTCCGCTATCGCCTAGACATATAATATACAATGGCGCTTAAAATTATGCATACAATCAATGAATAACGATCCAATTCTAATATCTCCTCTCTAGTTCAAGATATCAAGTTGAGATTTTTATCAAAATGTAGCTAAGTACTCAATCTATCTATGCTAAAAGTGTCGATCCGATAGAACATGTCTTGATGACACAATAACAAAAATACTAAAATCATTAAATCTTGATTTGCCTCAAAATTATTCATACAGTTAATTTTTGATGAAAGAAACGATTTGAGTTCTAATGATAGATAAGAAATCAAATTCACTTTCGTCTAAGAAATTTTCAGTTCGATTTTTGTTTTTCTATAGAACACTAATAATCATAGTTTCTTCATTTTATTCTGATGTCAAAAATGGAAACAAATACAAGATTATCTTTCCGAAAGTCTTCCTATGTGTTTTTTAATATTTCGAAACAGAATTAGTATCGAGTTGAACAGCCTCCTTGCTTTATGCATTCTTTCCATCGATTTGAACTTGAGTCAACTGATACTTCAGTTATATCGCTTCCAATTTGATTCCATTCATCAATCAGAACTTCTTTCAATTCTTGTTCATTTTTTGATGGCGGCATTTTTTTTCGAATATATCGATCAAGTTCACTCCGTGTGTGTTCTATTGAGCTTAAATCAGGACTGTGAAAAGGCCCGTTTATACGTTTCAAGATTTTACAATTTTAGTATTTTCGTTACTGTGTCATCAAGATATGTTCTATCAGGTCAATACTTTTAGCATAGATAGCTTGAGTATTTAGCTACATTTTGGTGAAAATCTCAACTCGATATCTTGAACTATAGAGGAGATATTGGAATTGGATTTTTATCCATTGATTGTATTATATATATCAACCAGAACGATAAAAACAAAAAAAAGGAAGGCAGATCATTCAGAGAGAGAGAGGGAGGAAAAGAAAGATCCTTGCTGTTGATGCTCGAAACATATTTTAAAAACTTTTCATGGAGAGTTGGGAGTAGGCCTGCGAGAAAATTAGTATATTTTACCTAGGTTTTTATGTTCTTTCCAATGTAATTTTTATTGAATCGATACAAGATCGAAAATTTCGCAGTGTTTGATGTGATTTAATAAAAACGAGCATAATTAATCAGGCCTTCTGATATGTCATCATCATGCTTCTTTGACAATGAAATAATTACATTTAATCTAGCTTCATCACTTATTTTATTATTTTCTCAAATAGTGACTAAAATTAAAAACTATTCAATATCTTTTTGTCATTTGATATCATGAATAACTAATGAATATGGAAAAAACGAACTACATGATCACATGTTTTTTTTCTTTTTCATTGCTTATTTGACAAGTTGTTACTATTGTGCTTTTGATTAGTATGATACGCATTTTGATTGACATTTAGAATGATCATTTATACCATTATCTTATCATTTTAATCTGTAATCAACAAAAACAACAATAATATACGCCACATGAATAAACCATCTATCGATAAAAACAAGATACTTGTTTTGCGCATCAAAGATTGTAATGCAAGAGCCTATCTGAATTTTTTTTTGAATCTACTGAATTTTCTTCAAAATTCCCAACTTTTTTCCATATCATATGTTCTAAACACATTATATATATCAAACTCTTAACTAAAGAATTATTGGATCAGTTTAGTAATAATCAAAGTACAGCCTAACAATTATTAGTGAGACTTTTACTTTTTGCTACGAATGAAAAATAAAATTAAAATTAATTAATCATCATAAAATAAATAAATGCTTTTTCATTTTCTTTGAAAATAAATTGTTTTGGGAGAAAATTTCAGTTTTTTACGATAAACTACTTTTTCTGAAAAACAGGTCAATATTTGGTAAACGACAATCCAAACAGACAGATATATTGAGTTTTCATGTTTTTTGAACAAAAAACAGCGAGTTTCAGTCGATTTTCTTATATTTTTTGGTTTGTTCAAGAAACACCTAAAAAGTAATGTTTTTGAGCTAAGAATTTTTACTTCATTTTTTTTATGCTAAATTAATTAGATTCAGATTTTCTCTGAAAATTGACTATTATTAGCTATTTACTTTAATTAGAACGATAGCATTCTTGCTTTTTTTTCTGTCTCTGATTTATTTCGATTGAACTGCTGCCATTTGTCATATATATTTTTTGCATGAAATAAAGTATATCTTGAGATTGAATCATAATTAAGTATCTCAATGAAAATACAATATCCTGAAAATAAAATATATATTTGGAAATTTTCAGCCTTTTACATTCTTTTTCAACCTTATAACGAATTACCATATAGAACAAAAATTATATGTATAAACAAAAAAAATAACACAAAATAATTTTCCGGTATTAACATAAACTTATAACTGTAATATAGCATGTATCAATATTATCTTATAATCAACGAGTAATCATTGATAAAAGATATGAGTTATTACACACATTAAATAGTTAAAATTCATGTTAATAACTTCATTTAACCATATACCAATATAAAATCAAATTGATAAATACTCAAGATTATTTATTCTGTCGTATAATAATAATAAATGTGTTATAAGGATAAAAATTCCCAAATATATGTTTTTCGTTTTTTTTCTGTTAAAAACAATAAAAAACATTTTGTTTTCAAGAATCATCTCTTCCACATTCTTCACAATAATTTTATTAAAATTGCATGTCATCTGATCGCAATGTATTTGAGTAATAGTCTTAAAGAAGAAAATGTTCCGATGAAAAGTCCTGGAAAATTTTAGTTAAGTTTTTTTTTCTCGCTTTTTTAAGAATATTATCATGTTGTTAATATAAATAGATATGTACTGTATTTTTTGTTTGGTTTGTTCTATATTTATCTCAATAAATCTAATACATCTCTGCATTTAACTTCATATAGAAATTGAAACAACCAATGACAATGTATAGTCTTCCTCACGCATACCTGTAAGAATGCACGCATTAACACTACTGATGACATCAATCAATGCAAAATCATGACTGAAGAATCGATTAATACGCTAAATGTGTCCATTGAAGCAGAGAGAATAGCTAAATTGGGACATTTTTACCCTCGAGCATATATAATAACGAAATCCTAACTATAGTTTCATAGTTTATTTATTGAGTAATTCGATGTTATACAAATATGTAATTTTATAAAAACTTAACAATGACATGTGATTACAAATAGTATTTTCTTTTTTTGTCATTGAACATCATGTTTATATTATTATTTTAGATCTTTTTTTTTCAAATTTATTTTAAATATTTTACAAGAAAGATAAATAAAAATGAAATTATCATTTTGTCAATTATTTCTATTTTTATTCATAATTATAAGTGTCTTTCAATGTCCAAATTGCTTTAAATTATACAAAAATAAAAATAAGATTTATGAGCAATTATACAAAGCTACACAACGAATGGCATCATCACTACTATCCCCAGTCTGCTCTCAAATTTTATTAAATCAAAATAATATACAATCTCAATATATATCTCCACAAGGTTTGTCTGGTCGTGTTTTACCAGCTGGAACATTTTCAAACAAAGTTTTAGCTCTAGAATATTTATATGGACTTCTTTGTCAAATACCAAATTTTCCACCACGGCCATCTACTATTCGGGCAGTTGATATAGTACGTGTCACTTATGATAGAAAATATTTGATTACTCAAGCTGAATTACTAATTCATATATCTGATAATAAACGATTAACTTTTTTGGCAAGTATGGCATTTGATAAAAATTATAAACTATGTGGCTATGATGGACAATTAAGAAATCTTGGATTAACATATGATCCATCTACAGATGCAGAACGTCTAGGAGCAATACAGATCATATGTAATGTTACACAAACATTCTGTAATGGAGCATTAAAACAATATTCAAGTTTCGATGATTGTAAACAATATTTAACGAAAAAAATACCTTTTGGTTCACTTGATAGAGCAGATCAAGGAAATGTTGCTTGCCGCACTATTCATGCACTTTTTGTTCCTCTGTTACCATCTCTACATTGTCCACATGTTGGTCCAACTGGAGGAGGAGCATGTACCAATAAACCAATTGACTTTTATTATAATCAATCAAATTTTCTTGGTTGCGCTTATAAACAATACTAAGAAAATAAAAACATGTTCTATTTTTAATTTAATATTTAAATAATAAATTGATATCATTTATAACTAATTGTGCGAAAAATAAGACATAGAGCCATAAGAGAGGTATACGCCTCCAAATCGATATTGATTTTCTGCTATAATAAAAAATGAACTAAAAGTTTCATTATTTTACTACAATATTGCACTAACTGGACTGCCAAACTATATCATTGAAGTTCTATCTTGCTTTAGTATATTTTCACAAGACAATAGTTTTCTAGAATTTTTTAGTCTTGAAAAATATTATTTAACCGATGTGTAATCGGATGACTTTTCTGGCATAACAGACAAAAAACCTGGTTAGGTTCATACTAAAGTTCTCAACGAAACGTGTGAAAAATGATTCCGTAATCAAAGGAGACTAATTTGATCCATCTCTTACAGTTCGACTTAATAATTATTGTTTCGTGCTTCTTTATTAATCTAATACTCGAAGGCCTGTTAACATATCTTTTGAAAATTGATAGGAACAACAGAATCTTGACGTGCGAAAGTGAAGATGATATCCATATCTATATTTAATATATTTATTTTTCCATTGATTAGGATTTTGACAAAGTGCCTGTTGAGAAATAACTATGTGGAAAGCAAAGATTGTAAGAACAAATGTCATACGTCGATTCCAAAGGGGCTAAGAAAAAATGTCATTATTCAAGTTTCGATACGAATCATTTTTCATTATTATATAATCATAGAAACGACAATAACATAATTAATGGTGATATCATGATTCAAAACAATTAGAATTTTTAATCGACTTAAAGAAAGGCACATCAAAAAGTTTACAATGATGTCATTACTATTTGTTTAAAATTTTTTCTCTTTCATTATTCTATTATGTTGTATATGTAGACTACGAAGATTCAGGGTGAGAATGAAATTATGAAATAAACCAAGTTAACAATAAGTAAATAATGAAGAACGAAAATGACTGTGTGATTAATATGAAAAAAGATTTTACTTCGATTAATGTTTGTTTTGTTTGACACTTTTTTTAATGATTCATCTTTTTTGTAAGGGTTTAGGAGAAATTTTTGAGATAAAACTGTTTCTAACAATGAACGAAAAAACAAATTTTGAACGAGATAAGAGCAACGAAATGAAAAAAAATACAAATTTTTTAAGCTATTTTTGTTGTTTAAGTCTAAATAAAGGTGAAGCTTTTCAGTAGGTGTAAAGAAGCTGTCATGACTAATGTCGACTTTGCTTAAGAATCTCATCAGATGGCTTATCTATTCGTGATTTTAAAAAAAGGGTCCAAATAACATATATCTTCAGCGTTACAAAACGAATTTTGAATAGAAGATTAATTTTTTGGCAGTAGTGTGAAGAAGTCAGTGGTTTGAATTTGATGTGCTTGTGGATGGGTATTATCTAAGGACCGATGCTGATGTTGATAGTTGAGAGACGAAAATCGTCACCAACATGTGCACCGACGCGGACACCCATAAACATTCTGAAGATTTTCAAAAATTCCAGAAACCAATTTTGCTTCTTCGTTTTATCTTTTTTTGAGATTCAGAAGATTCGAAAATCCTTTAGATTTCTGATGAAAGACTGTGGAAATCAAAAAGCTATCCTTGCATACATCCTCGGATACTAACTCAGTTTTTCTACCAATATTAGTTTCCTGTAATACCTTTAAGATTTATAAAAATACTATTAGGTTTTCCATAGCAAAAGAAAAATGTTCCAAAATACTTTCAGGATATCGAAACCTGTACTTTAGAAAATTTTAGACTTTTCGACCTTTCGGAAACCTTCTCGCAAATCGCTAAGGGTATGCTAAGAGATTTACGAAGGAGTTTGAGTTTTTCAGGAAACGGAGTCTTTTTACAAAGTACGATGGAGATATGTTACACACAGTATGTATTGTACATTTTTTCTGTTATATTATAGAAATTTTTGAATAATTGTGTACACTATTCTTATTTGAATTTTCACTTCATGAGATAGTGAGGTCGAAGAAAATTTTGATATTCAAATCGAGTCAGAACTTTTATCCTATCCATTATGCAGCTGAGAAAAAGATGTAAAATATCGTGAGCGAAAAAATAGTCTTATAAGCGCATGTCTTTTATTCTGTTTCCTGGATGCATTTGTATTTTTTTCATTAACACGTACAAGGCTTCTCTTTAATTTTTAGATATAGTGTTGAAGGACTCAAGCAGACTAATTTTTGAATTGTCTTTAAGAAGAAGTTGAAACATTATATCATTCAAGAGTAAAATTCTAAAGTTTAGAACCTAATCGTACTTTTTTTCATGTCAATAGCGCTTTCTATAATAGGTGAACACAAGATATTCGAAAATTATTCGAATAATATGGATGATTAATTTGCCTACATGTTCATTAGTTGTGTCATGAGAGAAAAACAAAACATCGCGCTGATAGAGGAAGCTAAAAAATGCAGCAAAATATCTTTGTGTTAATGTAAATAATTGAATGAATGGATCCAGAGCCGGATTCAAACCCGATGGTGACTAAATAGGTTCGGATATTATATTAAGGAAGAGTTTTAAATAATAATAAGAATAAAATAATAAAATAGGACTTGTACATATGATTCAAGTAAATAAAATCGAAACTGAAAATAAAGTTAATTTCTATTAATTATAAATTCGATGATTTTAATAATATTTAGGATGTGGGTGTGACCTTCTCTTTTCACACACCCACACCAATGTGGTAGCCAAATGAAGACAAACCTGTTTATCAGCTACAACTTTCATTCATTTGAATGCATTTTTTTGAGACATTTTTGCTGTTTGCAATGACATATTCATGCCTCATTGCTTCTATACAATCTTTAATTATTTATGAGCATATGAGATTCTTCTGAATTTTTCGAACATCAGTCCTTATCTGGATAGTACCATAGTTACATACTTGAACTATCGTATTGATTTCACCGACATACACAAATGCCATTTCGATCTGATGTGTCATCGAATTCGATTAAATCAAGTCATCCGTCTTACACATTCCGATGATAATACTACATCTTGTCAAATGAAGCTCTTCTTTGATCACTTTTAAATCGAAGAATTTACTTGTCTAAGAACTCACTCTCACTTGTGATCAGTCAATATTCTGATCGTTTCTGTGAACGAAGCGATACTATGGCGATTTTCACAAGTCATTATCGTTTGGAAAGCATGATGCTTCCTCATCTTCAGCACCTGTGTATGTCAAACTGTTCTTCGCATCAAATCGAAACGATCTTTTCTGAAGTTTCATAACTTGAATTACTTCACTTATTCTGAAGATTGATGACCAGTAAGGATGTGGGTGTGTGATATCTGCATCTCTTCATCAGCATGCAAGCGCACATGCACACACATACCCGCACCCACACTTTGTATGTATTGAAGAGCCATGTGGGATTTATCCCAAAATGCTTACGCACTTATTGAAAAGTCTCAATAAATCCTGAAAAAAATACGTCCCATTTGCTGCTGGCGTTATGGCAATGAAAAGGAATGTATTGCTCTTAACGAAAGCTTTTAGTCAGTATGTGCAAAAAGACATGCTCGTTCTTTATGAAAATTGTTTACGCAGATCAATTGACGTGATAGAAAGATGAAAATGAAAATAATGAAATGAGAGTTTCCACAGTTCACATATTCTCTTCGATTATCTATCGACCAATTGATAAGCAAAGATCATTATTTGGTATAAAATTTCCTTTCTTTTTATTGTCTAATATACCATGACTTTGTCAATACACACTAAAGTAGAACAAAAAAAAACGTTTTTTTCATACTCAAACTCAGAATTATTGCACGAAAATAGTTATAACTATACTTTCGATTTTCATGGAGATTCTACCAATGGTACTTTGATTCCTCAACCTAATTTATTATGACCATTTTGAAATTGAATCGTCTAAGTTAGTTTCTTTGTTCTCTATATTTCCTTTATAAACTACTTCCAATAATAAAGAGCAAGAAAAAAAATTGTTCTCCAACTTCATTCTATTAGATAAATTTTTTTCAAGTAGCTGCCTAATTTGAGTTCGAAAATACATGAAAATTTTAGAATTACCCTCGCCTTCGTCCGGCAAAAACAAAACATAAACTTTTATTCCGAATATAATTGGAACAAAGCTTTCATATAAGTGTAGCAAACAAAGCAAAACATGAAATTTTATTCGGAGTATAATTGGAACGAAGCAGGTGTGAGTGTGCTACGGATGCGGGTGGATATGAGTCTACTTCATGAAAAGATCCACACTCAAACCCTTGATGTAGAATCTATGTAAAATAATATGAATCACTTCTCATTATTTTTAGATCTGTACATTAATAAAGATTCTCAATACCGTAGCAGTTTATAACAATGTCAGAAAAAGAAAACGCAAATTTTACAAAATAAAAAAATTGCCTTTTACTGTCTGGTCAAAGAGAAGTTTAATAAAACTCAAGCATATGGCTTCGATGAAAATGAAGCCTTCGAATAATGTATATGTCTGCAATCATAAAGTTTTTTTGTGAACATACGAAATGGCCTATTGTTTGTTTTTTACCTTGACAATATAAAACATGAAAATAGGTCATTTGCAAAATTGATTTTGTTTCGATAAAACATATAGACATTTAAATAATAAATTCATCAAAATGAATACAAAGTTACAGAATATAACTAAAAACAAAGTTGGACCAGAGCTCACATCGTTCAGTTCAATTACGGAGGAGTTCAATGTTCCACGTCGGTATACACCATCTGTACAACATGCCAAAAAGCTGTCTGCACGAAATCCTCCGAGATTATCAGCAAAGCCAGTATGTTTATCAATCCGAAAAATATTTCTTTTCAGTCAATAAGTATCATGTTTTTTTGTTGTTGTAGGAATTAATTATTCCAACCATTGATGAATATGAAACTCCATCAACAAACACCAATCATAACAGTTTATTCGAATCGGTAAAACATAAAATAAATCCTGTTCTTATGAGCGA